CCGTACGAAATCCGTCTTGCTAAAGCAGAAGACTTCTTGGGCTGGACTGTCAGATTTATTCCGTGAAACAGTCCCCATGTCGATAGTCACATCGGGTTGCGTCAGGGGCGCCACCCTAGCTAAACTAACTCTTTCCGGATCTGCGACAAAACAAAGATCAAGCAAGCGCTCTAAGGAATTTCGAACATGATTGACTTGGGACAGCGAAATGTCAAACAAGCCAGCAATAAAATCATGATGTGTTGTCGTAAGAAGTGTGTTAGTGGAATTATCTAGGGACCAAATAGTCCCTGGGATGTTAAAATCACCAAGAACTACTAAATGGTCCCTATCCGAAAGTCTTTTGGAGACCAACTGAATAGCGGAGAGATGGTTCCAATAAATAGGAAGTTCCGACAATGGAGGAAGGTAGGAACATGTAACAAAAATGGAACTACCATTAACTGATAGCTTCACGCAAAGGAATTCAACATTGTTGGATTCCTCGAAAATTATTAATTCGGACGTGAGAGTGGAGTCGACCGCTATAAGAACACCTCCCCCACGTCTGATAGGCCGATCTAGCCGGTATACTGTGAACGCAGCTGGAAAAACTTCGGAGCTCAGAATCTCCGGCTTTAACCAGGTTTCTGTGAACACAATAACTTGGGAAGCAAATGCGACGCTGTCGGAATACAATTTAGGAAGCTTACTGCGTAAGCCTCTTGCATTCTGATAGGAAATACAAAGGGAACTGGTTAGTTTTTTGGGACGGAATTGGAAGACGTAGACGGAGCATTGGGCAAATCTGGCCTAGGATGAGTAATTCCTACAGGCCGCTTTTTCTTTTTCGTACCTTCAAACTCTTTGACAACCACATACTGTGGCCAGGTTTCGGCAGAGCATAGAGTGCCAAAGACTTCTTCAGGAACATTTATCTTGAAAGACGAAATGTTCCTAGGGTAAGAAAATTTAAATTTTTCCACCATAATTTTTTCTCTATCGACTTTTACTTTGCCTTGGATAAAAGCTATGACATCTTCCGATGTCTGATCAGGGGAAAGCCGCGAAACAAATAACTGTTTTGTTGGTGGAATTGCCGTAAGGGGTTTTGGCACGGCAGACTGAGCCACCATACCACTTTCGGCCGGTAGTCCGGGCCTGATACCCTGGCAGGGACTGGGATTAGGGCTCTGAGAGGGCTGAGACAAGAGTTGGGACCCCCCAGTGGACAAAACGGAACTGGGCAACACCGGGGGCACGGTCGCACCCGCGACGCATTCGGATACCGAATCTTTTTAGCGCTCGATCTCAGGATTCTTGGAATTTGTCCCGCGGTCGGGGGCAGAGTCAAGGAAGGCTGCTGTGCAGTGCCTATCACTGGTGGCTGGGATCCGCCAATATGCTGCCCACCAGTTGCGGTTTTTTTGCGCCTAGGAGACTCATTTAACAGCTTGAGGCTATTAAATTGAGTATCCAGCGCCAAGAGCATATCTTGAGTTTTGCGAAAACTCAATAATAGCTCTTTAAAACCACCCCTGGTTTGCCGCATAAAAGACATCATTTCCCTCTCCACCTCGCGGCAGGCCTCGCAGCAGTAACGTACGCCAATATTTTTGGCCACGTCATCTACTGTCCGTGCAACAACGCCAATGCACTTGGCATGTACTATGTTGACACACAGCCAACAGGTGATGGTGAGTTCACCGTAAGTAATATTTTTCTTAAAATTTTTGGCGAAGCAGACCATATTATGGGACATTATAAGGACTTACCACTGTACTTCCACTATTTAAGAGAGGGCGCAAGGGATTAAATGCAGCGGCACTTGATGAGCGGGGGGGCAATGAGCAGGAGAGTGAGAGATAAGCACTGAGTAGAACAGTTTATAGCTGTCGCGGCAACGCAAACAACAAACGCTAAAGGCACAAAAGGGAATGCAAAAAGAGCAAAATGCAAAGCAACCGCAGCAGCCCAAACTAAAATGCAATTTAAATTGAATTAAATAGCACAAAGTTCGGCAGCTTTCAGTATCGCGAGAACCTCCGCCTGGAAAACCGTGCTGACTCTGGGAGGTGGAAGTATTCCTCCACCTTCCAGCTCTCGGCGTAGATTCTGGCCCCTACTCCGCCGCTCATCTTTAAGCCGTCGGTGTAGAGTGATACTTCATCCGGTTCGGTTACTCTCCCTCTCTTCCAGTCTTCCCTTGTAGGGTATATAGTGGTGTATGTGTTACCGAATCGCAGTTCGGTTGTCATGTAGTCTGTGTCTAGTTTATAGTTATAGTTAATCTCGTTCAGAATCTTGCAGTGTCCGGTGGGGTCTTTCCAGCTTTGATTAGTCTTTAGTCGTACTTTGTGCTGCAGTGTTATGAAATGCTCCATCGGTAATGTGTTCAGGATGGCGTTCAGCGCCGCTGCGAGGCATGATCTCATTGCTCCCGTGGCTCCTGCGCATGCCGATCTCTGTATCCTTGTTAGTTTCTGGACGTTGTATGCCCTAGTTAGTCCTGGCCACCACACTAGTGCTCCGTATGTGAGTATGGGTCTTACCACCGCTGTGTAAAGCCATATTATTATCCTGGGGTGGATGCCCCAGTTCTTTCCGAACATCTTTCTGCAGGAATAGAATGCTTTGCTTGCTTACTTGACTCTCTCGTTGATGTTCTGTTTCCATGAGAGTTTCCCATCCAGTATCACTTCCAGATACTTTGCCTGCTCTGATATCTCTAGTTCTATGCCATCTATCTTTGGCTTTGTGAAGCTGGGGACTTTAGTTCTCCTAGTGAAGAGCATTAGTTCCGTGTTACTTGGATATATGCCCAATCCGCAGGCTTTTGCCCATGCATTGAGTTTCGTGAGTGCCCTTGTCATTAGTTCACTGATGACGTCGGGGAATGGTCCTGAAGTGAGTAGAACTAAGTCGTCTGCGTATGCTACCACTTTTACTCCTTCGCTATTTAGTGTTCTTAGTATGTCGTCCATGTTTATCAGCCAGAGCAGTGGGGACAGGACTCCCCCCTGAGGTGTGCCCCTCTTTACAAATCTTGTGTGATGAGTGCCACTCAGTTCGGCTGTTATCCTCCTGCTCGTCAGCATTGCGCCAATCCATGCCATGATGCCTCCTTCTACTCCTGCACCGTTGAGGGAGCTCAGGATGGAATCCGCATTGACGTTATTAAAGGCTCCTTCTATGTCCAGGAAGGTGGCCATGGCGTAGTTTTTGAAAAGTAGAGCCTTTTCTATGTATCGCACTACCTCGTGTAATGCTGTTTCCGTGGATCGGCCTTTATTGTACGCATGTTGCGCATTGGACAGGTTTTTCTCCAATCTTTCTCTGATGAGGATATCAATGATCCGTTCCAGTGTTTTCTTTAGAAAAGAGGTAAGGCTTGTCGGTCCCCTTCTTTCTGGTTTTGGTATGAAGACTACCCTCGCTTCCTTCTATGGAAGTGGTATGTGTGCTGTTTTAATGCATGCCTGGAAGATTGCTTGCAGCCATTTTCCCGTGCTTGCTTTTGTTGTTTGTAGCATTGCTGGTATTTTGTATTTGTCGGACCCGGGGTTTTGTATTTGTCGAAGGAATCTATCGCCCAATGGATTCTTTCCATGGTGATGATCTCCTCTATTTGTAACTGCTGGTCTGCCCCCTGGCTTTCCATTATTCTAGGTTCTTCTTTTTGGTTTCCTGGGAAGTGCGTATTCAGCAGGTTTTTCAGTGACTCTTCAGCCGAAGTACTTCCTGTCCCGTCGGGTTTGTTTATGAGCGTGGGGCTTGTGTGTCCTCTCGCTAGGATTTAGCGATTCACAGTAGCTGCTCCAAGATTCCTTCTTGGCTACGTATATTGCCTTTTTGAATTCTTTGTGTATTGCTTTTTACGGCTGCCAGTCTTTGGTTCCGTAACTTGTGTTGAAGGCTTTTCGAACTTTCTTTCTGAGCTCGCATAGCTCTTTGTTCCACCATGGTGGGTATGTCTTCTTAGAGTATGTTAGTCTGCATGACTCTTTGTAGGCTTTGTTCAGAATATTTGTGAAGTCCTCGACTTCCTTATCTATTCTCTCCGGGGTGGATCGAGTCTTGATCCTTCTGTCTTTGACCTTTGACTGTACAATCTTTCCGTATTTGTCCCAGTCAGTGTTACGAGGGTTTCGCTTCGGCGCCGTTTCGCATATCGGCATCACAAGTTCGAAGAATATGTATCTGTAGTCTGAAAACGAGTCTTGTGTAGAGACTCTCCAGTTTCTTACCTTATAATCGCTATGCTCCATTTTTGAGGGTTATATCTAGGACTTCTTCCCAGCTCTGAAATCCTTCCGTACTTGGTAAGATAAAGGTGGGCGTGTTTCCCTTGTTACAAATAGTGACGTCACGACATATAATACTATCGAAGAGAGACTCACCTCTTTCGTTTGTCTCCCTACTTCCCCACAGTGTGTGCCTTGCGTTGGCATCGCACCCGAGGATGAGCGTCGTCTTAGTCTCCTCGGCCCACTGCATCACCCTATTAACCGCTTCAGGTGGTGCAGGTTCGTCGTGGGCCATGTAACCGGAGGCTATTAGTATGGCTGTCCCATCCGCCGCCTTGAATCTTGCCACTGCTAGATCTAAGTTGCTGAGATTGGGGTAGAGAAGAGCATTAAGGTTGTTTTTAATGATTATACCCGCCCTTGGCCTACCTGTCGAGTTTGTGTACAATGTTGTGTATCCTTTTATGGCCATGCCAGAGATTCGTCCGTCCCTTGTCCATGGCTCTTGTATAAGGCCGATGTCGATGTCCATCTCCCGGAGAAGGACCCCCAGATTACCTGAAGCGTGGAAGCTGCGATTCAGGTTTATCTGAACGACCGTCGGCATTAGATCGGGGTGGTGTTGGGGGTGCTGTCGTCGATTGCCAAATCGTCCAGCAGCTTATTAGCGTTCTCGACTTCGTCTTCCAGAATATCGTCCGGTTCGTCTAGGAAGACCTTTACCTTGGCTTTTCTAATGCCGTACCGGACTTTGTTATCTGCTGCCTTCAGCTGTTATAGGCAGCGCTGGTTTATCAAGAACAGATATGGCTGGCTGGACTTCATTTCCCGTTGAGCTTTGAGAATGGCCCAGTCCTCCATATCGACTCCCTTGTTCTCCGCTCGCAGAGTCTTGAGCACCCTTTCATGGCTAGACAGCCCCTTGGGCAACCAAATGCGAGCTCTGGGTCTCCTTGGGATGTCCTTGCCGGGGACCAGCTTAATGCTTATCCCCTTCCATGCGTTGCCTAGTCTGGCAACACAATCCGCCAGGAAGTCCCGCGAGAACTCATCGTCGCACCTCATTACCCGGTGCCCCCTAACCATTTCCGAGGAGTCAAAGGAGGGTGACTGGCCCGTTGGCTCGGACAGTATTTTGTCAGTTACCATCACCGCCAACTGGGTCTCGACCTCCTCCCATTTCTTCATCAGAAGGCGTCCATCGTCAATGAGCTCATCGACAAGTGCCATTGCGAGGCTGTCTCGGGTCACCTCGCTGAACTTTTTCGCCGGTTTGACGAAAGTGGTCGGTCTCGGTGCTCCCTTAGCGTCCTTGGCTCTCTTTGAAGCGCTCTCGCTCACCTCTTGTGAGCGGTTGCGCTTTGCTTGGGGAGGCAAAGACGTCTCTGGGTGCTCCTTTCCTCGATCACTGCTAGAAATTTGGCTTTGTCTGCAGCGGCGGGCGGGTCGGCTTTGCCCTCCTTTTCATTCCTCGCGATTTTGCCGAGGATGAAATGGGCCTTGCTTGCCTGCGCCTTTCGTTTTTGGTGGGTCGACGGTTTTGTCTTCCCGTGTTCGCCGGTCGCTTTGGCTTGGCTTGCCGCAGCTTTACTTGACATTGGTTGTGTCGCTTGAGGTGTGCTAGTCTTTGCACTTCCCTCTGAATTGGACGGATCCAGAGTCTCATCGTCAGAGCGCAGTAGCTCCTCCTCGTCCAATTCGCTTTCCGTCGATTTGTGATGGGGTTTACCTCCCCCACGAGGTCCGAAGCGGATTTTTTTGTTGTGCTCATTTTCATAAACGCCCGCGTTGCTCGGCAGGGCGAGCGCGGCGGGCCCGAGGGGTTCGGGGCATTGAATGAAGGTCGATCGTGGCTTCGCCGCTAAGCCTCGGCAAGGCTCGTTCCGACCCAGGGTTGCCCGGCCCTGGGAAGGCTCCGTTCGAACACAGCTGGTTTAACCCGTCAGCTGCGAACCTTATAGTCAGTGGGCACGGGTCGCTTTACACGCCTGACTTGAGGGGAGGTAGTTTTAAGACTTGCCCATGTCTCGGTAGGGATTGGGAGGCAAAGGATTATTAGGTGAGGGATTCACTGGAGGTGCCGCTCGCATTGGCCGTACCATAGTACGTTTCCAGGAGGTACCACGCGGAGGACCTTCTCCCAGGAGAAGGTGGTGTCTATCAAACCGATATTCACCTACGAGTCGACTTGGTGTACCATTAGAGCCAAGGAATATTCATCAACAGTTGCCCTGTTGACTTTGCCTTGGATTGGTACACCCATACCACCCGAATACAGAAAAGATTGAAGCAAACCGAAGTGTGAAATTTGCATCAGCGAAAAGCAAACGGCAAATAAGTATAAAAGTGCTACGGAAAAGAGATCGCAGAAAACTCCAGAAATTGTGCACAGTGACGTGTGTGGACCGATGCGTACACAGTCAAAATGTGGGTGCAAGTACTTTGTTATATATATCGATGACTATTCGCGATATAGCTCGGAATATTTTTTGTAGCAAAAATCTGAAGTATTAAAGGCGTTTAAATCGTTCAAAGCCTTAGCTGAAAATGTAACAGGTAACACAATTAAACAATTACAGAGCGATAATATAACCGAATTCCTGAATAAGGAATCCGAAGAATTCCAGCGACAAAGCGGAATTAGCAGACGTCTGTCAGCGCCACATACTCAACAAAACGGCGTGGCAGAGCGGCAGAACCGTACACTGGTAGAAATGGCCAGGTGCATGATGAAGCAAACGGGGGCTCCACCGTCATTTTGGGCAGAATCTATTAACACGGCTTCCTATCTGCGTAACCGGTGCCCAACAAAGGCTCTATTTGGTGAGCTACCCTACACCTATTGGACAGGTAAAGTTCCCACGGTAATGTATTTACGCACTTTTGGAACGAAAGCGTATGCATTAATAAAAGGCACAAATAAGGGAAAGTTTGAGTCACGATCTGAGATATGCATACTGGTAGGATATGCTGCAGAATCGAAAGCGTATCGCCTTTATTCTCCTCAGAGAAGATCCATCGTGCCAATGATGTAAAGTTTATGAATACATCAGGGTTTAAGAGTAAATATGAAGAATTTTACGAGAACGAACCTGAGGGAGAATTGTCTATTCAAATGACTGATAATGTACCAAACGAACAAGTAGAACCCTCTAGCAGCAGTGATGTCGAAGGAGAGACTCCCAAAATTGCTGCGAACCGGACAGCGTGGGAGGCCTCGTAAGATGTATCTGCAAAGACAGGAAGATGAAACTCTCAACAATGATCCCGCAGAAAATGGCACATTGATTGATGACGAATTTGAGGATTGCGAATTGGCATTCAAATCCAAAGAAGCAGTTCATTGGAAACGCGCAGTGGAAGACGAGTTTATGGCCCAAGTCCTCAACAAAACTTGGGAGATAACAGAAAGCCCGGAAAATCGTAATGTAATTGAAAACTAGATGGTATTCCAAACTAAAGATGACGGCAGCAGCTTGGGAAATAAGAAAGCCCGATTGGTTGCAAAGGGGTATGCTCCGAAACCTGGAGAAGATTTCTTTGAGTCCTACTCACCTGTAGCGCGATTTACATCAGTGCGACTATTGGTTGCTCTATCAGCAGAATTTCAGATGGAAATTCACCAAATGGTCGTCGTCACCGCCTACCTCAACGGTGAGCTAGAGGAGCAGGTAAGTTATGTATCTATAATATTTCCCAGTGTATTTTTTCTCTTAGTTTCTTTTTGTCTCATTTGTTTGTGCAAAGCCACCGCTTATCTCGGGCCTAGCAATCGAATATCAAGCTACTGATAAACGCTGATTTGCCTACGTGCAATCAGCCACTTTTTTCGATTACCTTTTACTAACAATAAAAAAGCTTTTGTTACAATTTGGGAGTACAGTAGAAGTTTAAGTTTTAGTTCCTAAGATGATGGGAAGCTGAACAGTTGAGTCGACAACCAAATTAATTATAATCATAAATATAATTTAAATTAAAATGAACTGAAACAAAATCTACGATCGTTATTATTTAAAAACAGAACTAAAAACCATAAAACCAAACAAGAAAGGAATCTAACTTCGGCACGCCGAAGTTTGTATACCCTTGCAGATTGGTATTGATATTTATATTATAAATTTAAATGCTGAAAACACACACAAAACAGAGTTTCATTACATTTTACCTATACTTATTATGTTTACAGTTTAACAGATACAGTTATACATTCCCAGCTTTATATTTTCTCTACATCTACCGATCGCTCCTATGGCAGCTATATTATATAGTTGTCCGATTTTCATGAAATTTATACCAAAATTCTGAAATAATAAAAAAAGCTTATATCTAAAAGAAGATAAGAATATGTTGAAAAACAACGAAGTTATAATTTTTTTCCTATTCATTTTCCGATCGTTCCTATGGCAGCTATAAGATATAGTCGTTCGATTTTCATAAAATTTTTAACAAAATTCTGGAATAATATAAAATGATGCAAAAATATTGAAAAACACCCAAGTTATAATTTTTTTTCTAAAAAATTATCGAACATTTGTATGGCAGCTATATGATATAGTCGTCCGATCCGGCCCGTTCCGACATATATAGCAGTGAGAGTATAGAAAACTATATGCAAAGTTTCATTCAGATAGCTTTAAAACTGAGGGACTAGTTTGCGTAGAAACGGACAGACGGACGGACGGACGGACATGGCTAGATCGACTCGGCTGTTGATGGTGATCAAGAATATATATACTTTATAGGGTCGGAAAGGTCTCCTTCATTGCGTTGCAAACTTCTGACTGAAATTATACAATTGGCGCAGCCGGTAGGATCTTGAAAAAAATTTTTTTACAATTAAATTACCCTGCATAAAATTGATTATTACCCTAACATCGGATAATATCATGCCCAAGTCTGAATGAAAATCAGAAGGGTTTCGGCGTAAAAATTGTTTTTTAAAGATCCGCAAAAGAACCTCGTGATTTTTCTAACTGCAAAAATGATCACGAAAACGTGTACCCCACGGCACGGTAAAGACAAAATTCGCAAACAAAATTTACAACAAAAATCAGCCAACTGAGTAGAGGTAAAAACCAAGAAGGATGGCCGAACCTGTACTAACTAATCAAGCGTTATCGCAATGCTTAACCGAGATCCGGCGAATTACTCCATTTGATGGTGATACCCTCTATTTGGCCCTATTCATCGAAAGAGTCGAGCAACAACTTTAATTTTACTCGACTTCCAACCCAGACGAATATTATATATGGTGCTGTCGAGAATCTCATCGTTGGACCTGCTCAACGTTTGCTTATGATGTCAACACCGCAGAACTGGGCAGAATTAAAGAGCCTTTTAATCGAAGAGTACAACAGCCAAATACCTCTTTCCCAGTTGCTCATAGATATTTATAAAACAAAATATTCCGGCAGCTTAAGAAAATTTGTTGATGAGCTGGAGTTAAAGTCGTCCGTTATTTCTAATAAATTACATTTAGATGGATTCGTGAATGCCAGACTTATGTTTCTCCAAGCGATGAATTCAGCTATTAGTGAAACTATTCGAAAAGAATTACCTGACAGAATTTTTATGTCCGTTTGTTGATATGATATTAGTTCAGCTAGTAAATTAAGACGTGCTGCTCAAGAGCTAGAAATTTACGAAAATTGTAGAAATATAATTTATAACCAACATTTTCCAAAACAAAATTATTATAATAATTCTCACTTTCATTATATTGATAATTACCGATATTCGAGCGTACCCCCCAATAATAATAATCATATATATAATCATACTAATAATAATATTAATAATCATAGCAATCATAACATAAATTCAAATCCGGGTCACAATATAAATAATATTATTCCATATTCAAAAGCAATTCCACAGGTTGAAACACAACAACAACATTTTGTTAGAAACCATTCTCGCCAAAACAGAAATCAACATTTTGATAGTAATAGATAAAAAAAAAAAATTATAACTACAGAAATTATCCAGAACAGCAAACAAAATAATTTAAGACAGTTTAGACCAGCAGAAAACTACATTAATAAAAGAATGCGTGAGTCAGAGTCAGCTCAATTCAGGCGATCAGAACCAATGGATGTTTCTGAACATTTTCAAGTACAAGCCTTGGAAGATCAAAGAATTCCACTATTAAATTAAAAATAAATAACATAGAATTTAATTTCCTAGTAGATACTGGATTTAGTATAAGTTTAATTAAGGCAGACATATAAAAAAATTATCCCCTACATGAAACCAATCCTAAAATTATCCATTGACAGGTAAAATAGGAAGATTAAAGCTATTCGTTCAGAATTTTTCCGCTAAATACGATATTTTAATTGGAAGAGATATCCTAGCATTATCAGATGCCAAAATAGGCTTTAAAGAAGAATACATTCAATTAAATAACTTTACTTTCTATTTCACTTCTTAAATATAGAAAAGCCGGAAAATACTTTAGAAAATAGGGATAAATTAAAAAATATAGATAAGCCTGAGAATATTTTAGAAAATAGTGATGCGACAATAAATAAGAACATCAAATTAACTGGGAATGCCGAAAATTTGGACAATACCTTAGAAGATTCTGATTTCAATCTATTATATAAAAATAAGTCCAGTTTCTGTGCAGATCCTATAACTCCAGAACGCACGAACCGATTTCCACGGTTTTGCATTCGTTGGAAAGGTCTCGGCATTTGTGCAGTAAAAAAAAATGCAGTAAAAATTGCAACAGAAAATCGGGAAAGTCATTTTTGCATAAAGCGCCAACACTGACACATAGCATGACATAATTCTCTACTCAGTTTATTTTATGAGACAAACCGAAATTGTGTTCAATTTTAAGAAAAATAAGTTATTCGTTTCCTAGCAGTGCAATTGGAAACCAGCTTTTTTCTTTGAGGTGGTAAGTTCCTTGATCAAGACCAATCCAGAATTCCCCGGATAGTTCACCAACGCTTTGATCTAAGTATTTCTGAAGTAAGTCGACACTACCATCGAATCGCTGCAGAATTACTATCCGATCGGGACCAGCGGTGGGAATATTCTCGCTATTGCCGGCCTGTCTTCGTCCCCGATTTTAATTAACTTATTGGGCACTTTCGAATGGTTTACTAATACAAATTGTGCATCTGAGCCTTGGGAATTTGTAGCATTTGAGGCAAGCTTAGTGTCCTCTTCTTCGGACTTAACCTCATATATTTCAGTGTCTTTTTCAAGAATAATTGCAACAGAAAAGGTGGTGAGTTGAACTGTGTAAATTATGCGGATTTGAGGTTAAATTAACCACTCTGCCTATAGACCCAGATCATATACATAACTCCAGAACGCACCAACCGATTTCCATGGTTTTGCAAAAGAAAAAGTTATTCGTTTCCTAACATTTCAATTGGAAACCATCTTTTGTCTTTAAGGTGGTAAGTTGGACTGTGTAAATTATGTGAAATTGAGGCTAAATTAACCACTTTGCCTATTGTTCAAAATGCCTAGAGCCCGACGTTTAAACATCGGTCTCCGCACAAGGCATGCATGCCAGCAACAAGTGTATTCACAGAACTTAAGCGTGGAGAGACGAAATGTAGTAAGGGAAAATGCCCGATTGAGACAACGTGTGGGCACAAGAAGATCAACTGGTGTGCAGCATCTAAGCGGATCCCAACCAGCGTGGCAGGCTCCTAACAGCAGCCTTCCTCGACATAGCCATCGACTTCAGGACAAATTTCAAGAATCCTGAGATAGAGTGCCAGAAAAGATTCGTTATCCAAAGGTGTCGCGGGTGAGACCGTGCCCCCGGTGTTGCCCATATCCGTTTTGTCCACTGGAGGGTCCCAACAGTTGTCCTCTCAGAGCCCCAGTTCCCTACCAGGGTGTCAGGCCCGGACTACCGGCCGAAATTGGTAAGGCGGATAATCAGCCTACCTTGTGTCTGGTTATGCAGCCCGCACCTGATGACCCAGCGGCCAAACAACAACAATAAATTTGCTCTGCGTAGCAAAGCTTTGCCTCTCCGCCTGCCTCTCTCGCTCTTGTCCGTAACTTTGCATAGCTGCCCTTGGCCGTCCGCTAACTGCAGAAAAAATTCTTTTATCAGTTCGTCTTCGTTTGTCTTCGCCTATGCTTGAGAGCGATCAGCTTAAATATTTGCCTATAACTATTTTCGGATCAATTCGGGTCATATATATCCACAGCGGCACTTCGGCTCGCCTGCGCTGATAAATAATAGAAACATCGTGGCTTAATAAATATTGCATTTAATTTATAACGTTTAAAACAAGTGCGTATTTTTGGGTCAAAAGACAGCTATTGAAAAATCTCAGTAGCTCAACATTTGCTGACCCCGACGTGATTGGCTATTAAAAACATTAAACATTTCGGTTAAATAATTGTGCCAAGCGCGTAAACAATTTCGTTTAGTGCATTTACTTGTGGCTGTACTTTGCCGCGCCGCGCTAGGCAAACGTACATACATACATACATATGCACCGGTACTTTGGCGTGTACCCAGCAGACAAAAACTTCGTAAAAAATATTAAAAACTGAAGGTTTGCGGACCGCAGGCGGACAAAACGACCGATTTTAGGCTCAAGAACGATAAGAAAGTAATTACATGTCCTGGGGTTTGTGGCAGCAAAACCTCTCATTTTCGGAGCACGAAATAATAGCGCTTGCGGACGCTGTGGCGAGACCGGAAAAAGTACCGATAGCAGCCCCTTTACGATACCCGAAAGAGTACCTTTAGTGGACCTGTGGCGATACCGGAAAAAGTACCGTCTGCAGGCCCTCGACGATACCCAAAAAAGAATCGTTTGCAGACCTGTGGCAATACCGCAAGAAGAACTGTTTGCGGACCTTTTAACGATGCGTTTCAGACACATTTTTAATATCTATTTCCAACTCAATTTTTTTAGAATTTCGGTTTTTTTAAATGTAAATAAAACATACATTTATTTATGTTTATAATTATTTATTATGTATCATTATTTAACTTAAAAAATAAACATTTTACTTAAGATTTGTTCATTTCCTTAAAACTAATAATACTTAATACTAATACAAACAGTCCTGTACATTCTGCTTTTGTGTCGCTCTATCGAAATCTCCGTCCTCCAACGCAAATTTGTTTATAAAAGCGGCTGTAAAAATATAAATTATTATAAGTATATAAGTATTAAAAAATATACGAAAAATATACATATGTACCTTTGACGGATGACGTAATAAGCATCTCTCGAATGGACATTTTGGACTCTGTCCCAAACCAGGACCATTGGCGCGCCACTTCGTCGGAAATTAAGTCTCGCCAGCATAAATAAATATAAATCTAGTCAATATTAGTTCATTAGTAAGAGATTGTACATATTAATCAATTTAAATTTAACACTTACCGTTGAAAACACGTGCGTCTTGGAAAAAACTGTTCACTCACGTCCGCACAACTCGCCGGTCAAAAGGAAAAGAGTCGCGACGGTATAAATTCCTCAAACCAAAAGAGTTGAGAGATGATGCAATAATATTTGCCTCTCGCTCATTTGCAGCGAAATAACAAAAAACAGGCAAGCGACAAAAGAAGGAAGGAGAAGAACCGTTTATCGAGTTCTAGAAATTTCGTTGACGACAAGATTTTTAACGCGTGCAGTGCGTTTTAGTGTCCATTAGCAGGACATTTGCGGCATTTGCACGGGTCCCAGTGTTCGCCCGTTTCAGAATCCGTTTTCGGCTCAGGTTTCGACAATTAGGCAAACCTATTGCTGTAAGTCCGCTTTTTGGCCGCCCACTGTACGTTTTAGTGTCCGTTAGCAATAAGTTTTCGGTACATTCACGAGGAACGCCACAGTTTTTCTTTTCGTCCGTTTGCGCGTCCGTTTTTGAGCATTCCCCGAACCTAATGCGGAAACTCCGATTCTTTGTTCGCATTTAATATTTTTAGCGGACATTTCTCGGATCCATCTGCACTGAGACCGCTCTTTGTCTGCTGGGTACTCTTTGCTCTCGTTCGCCTGCTTGCTGTTCATTTGCCGTCGGTAACAGCTATTCGAATTCGCTCCCCCCTTATTTTGTGCAGTAACTCTGACACAATAACTTCGCTTGTGTGCGGGCATCGTTGCGGTACAAAGAAAAAATCTGCAGTGCATGTCAAACTGTTGACTGCAGTTTCTATTGTGAACTAATAAAATAAAAATGTCGACTCCAGAAACTCCTCAGTTTTCGTCGCCCAATCGAGTTACGTTTTTTTTACTGCCGATAAGGTTAAGGCCGTTCCTGAGGAGGAGCACACACTGCAACTTGAGCTTATAAATAGAACCGAAGCCTCTTTCTCATTGGCTCATGATTCGTTGGAGCAACTCGATTATGAGGAAATTGGCAGCAAAGCGCGGGACGACTTTGAGGAGTTGGTGTTCTTCATGAGATCGGTGGTGCTGCAAGAGCTGGGGAAGCGCAAATTCCCAGGAGTTCCGTGTTCAACCATGCATCCAGAGGTGGCCATGGAGTCCGCTGCGCCTGCTCCAAGAAGATCTTGCCTTCATGAGCTTAAGTTGCTAACCCTCAGCGGCGGCTACACTGAGTACGCCGATTTTATTTCGATGTTCCTGACAATTATTGATAGGAATAGTGATCTGGCTCCAATTGAGAAGCTGCAGCACCTGAAATCATGCCTAAAAGGTTCAGCTTCAGATGCCGTTCGTTTGCTGGAGATCACTGACTCTAATTATGGAGTAGCTCTGGAATTACTTGACAATCGCTTCAATAATAAACGCCTTATTTTTCAGGCTCAGAGCTTGGGTACCTTGGAGCTTCAGAGCTTGGGTACCTTGGAGGAGATAGCTGGTTGAATTCTTGTTCATACGCTGCAGCAAAAAGTTTACCCGACTACCCAGGCTAAATGGGAAGAGTCTGCCTCTCTGGACAAAATACCCACCTGCACATAATTTACTAAATTTCTGGAGAAGCGATGCCTGAAACTGGAGAATGTGGAGCATGCTGCTGTATCCAATGGTGGCAATTCGCAAGCTTCACGGCCCAGGATGTTCAGCAGACATGGGAGAAGTTCGTTCGTCGCCACTACCATCACAGCCTCGACCAGATCGTGCGTTATGTGCCAAGGTGCAAATCATGGCATTTATAATTGCGCTCAATTCGCCAGCCTTTCTCCTCAAGCTCGTCTGCGTGAAGCTAAACGGCTGGCCTTATGCCTAAACTGCCTCAAATCTTGGCATCAAATGAGGAATTGTAGTTCGGGCTCCTGTCGAGCATGTGGATCTAAACATCATAGCCTTCTACACTTTCCCGCACAGCCTGTAACAGCGCCCCCACAACCTGCTCCACCTAACGTGCCATCTTCGTCAAATGCGGCTCAAAATGGATCGTCAAACTCTTCGCTCGCTTCGTCGTCATCGCAATCCGCTGCTTTAGTCGCTCAGAATCTCGATACGGATTGTGTTTTGCTTGCCACTGCAGTCATCAGTGTGCAAAATCGCTCTGGTTCGTGGGTTCCTTGCCGTGCCCTGCTCGACTCGGGGATCTCAACTGCATATCATTACTTATCGCCTCGCACACTCGCTTCAGTTGCCGAATGTCAAATCCACGGCCACTGTATCTGGACTTGGAGACTCTAAATTTTGCTCGGATGGTTTTTCGGTAAATATTACTCTAAAGTCTCAAGCTTCAGATTTCGTCTCCAGTATTTCGGTTTTGGTTGCGCCTGCCATCACGGACGACCAGCCTAGCTTCACTGTCAGCCCAGAGGACTGGAACATACCCTCCAACATTCGCCTGGCCGATCCACAGTTCTTCAGATCGCAAAGAATTGACTTATTAATTGGAGCAAGTCTATTCTTTGAGCTATTATGTGTTGGCCAAATTAAGTTGTCTGATGGGCTCCCTCTGTTGCAAAAAACCCGATTGGGATGGGTTGTCATTGGCGGAGGATCAGCGCCACGCCAGTCAGCGGCCTTGGCTGTCCAATCTATTGCAGGGACGTTAGTCGGAGATGACCCTGGTCTGGAGAGCGTTGTGCGGAAGTTTTGGGAAGTGGAAAACGTTGGAGAGTCTGGATCTCAACGTACCAAAGAGGAACTCGATTGTGAAGCTCATTTCAACGCCAACTTTACTCGTCTGCCGTCAGGAGAATACTCGGTTCGCCTGCCAACTAAACATAGTGTTGAAATCCTGGGAGATTCATATCAACAAGCTTATCGTCGCTTCGTCAACCTGGAGAACAAACTTGTTCGTCATCCTCATCTCAAAGCGCAGTACTCGGCATTTATTCGTGAGTACCTCGATCTGAATCATATGTCTCTTGTGGATTTAGACTCACGGAATTTATGCAAGTTTTATTTGCCACATCACTGCGTCATTAAAGAGGATAGCACAACTACTAAGCTGCGTGTTGTCTTTGATGGGTCTGCCAAATCGTCGTCTGGATACTCATTAAATGAGGTGCTCATGGCAGGGCCCACCTTGCAGCTGAGATTGTTCAACACCTTAACCGGTGATATTTGCAAAATGTATAGATGCGTTCGGTTTGCTGAGCCGGATAGCTACTTGCAATGCATTTTGTGGCGTGACTCACGGCAAGAGGAAATTCGTGTTTATAGGCTGGACACTGTCACCTATGGAACTAAACCTGCCTCGTTTCTGTCAGTTCGAGCCATGCATCAGTTGGCAGAGGATGAGAAGGCATCGTTTCCCCTTGGCGCCAAAATACTTTTGCGAGAGGCGAGGCAACTTGACACAAGACGTCTTGAAGATCATGCGGCAGACCACTGAACTTCTCGAAAGGGGCAATTTCAAGTTGAGAAAATGGTGCTCAAACGATCCTGCGTTGCTGCAACAAATCCCAGAGGCCGAAAGGGATTCATTCTTGAAGTTCGACGATGGCAGCAACATTACAAAAACGCTTGGACTTGCTTGGGATTCGTCGTCTGACGTTTTGCTGTTCTCCACATCGCCAATGAAAATTATTGCCAAACCAACCAAGCGCTCAGTCTTGTCTACGATCGCTTGCTTTTATGATCCTCTAGGTCTTATTTGTCCTGTAATTACTAAAGCCAAAATATTTTTACAGAAGATCTGGAGAGAGAGACTCGACTGGGACGAAAGCTTGCCGGCAGCGCTAAATTCTTCGTGGCTAAGTTTGTCGGCCAATATTTGTGAGACGCAAAAGCTCCAGTTTCCTCGGCTAGCACTGAACCCAAACAACGTGATCGAAGTCCACGGATTCAGTAATGCCAGTATTGACGCATACGGAGGCTGCATTTACGTCGTTTCCATGGAGGATGACCGAAGGATTGCCCATCTTCTCTGCGCTAAATCTCGTGTGGCGCCACTGAAGACTCTCACGGTCCCTAAGCTGGAGTTGTCTGCTGCCGTGCTGCTGGCTCAACTCATTCAAGAAGTACAACAAATGGGGCTATTTTCGTGCTCCTACTACTGCTGGTCGGATTCTGCAGTTGTTTTTTCCTGGATTAGAGATGAGTCGTCACGTTTTCAAATATTTACTGCTAACCGAATCTCTTTAATTCAGTCGATTACAAACGGAATGGAGTGGCGCTACGTCCCTACGAGCTGCAATCCAGCAGATATCCTGTCAAGAGGTGCTCTTCCCAGTGAACTTGTAGCTTCTAACCTATGGGCTCATGGACCGGACTATCTTCTAAAGGAAAAATCTCAATGGCCAGAGTCCTGCCTTGCCGTGAAGACTCTTCCTGACCTTAAAAAGATTGCTTTGGTTGGCATCTCGACAGCTGCTGATGTATCCTTGTACTGCAAATTCTTCAACTCGTGGGAAAAATTAAAGCATGTCTTTGGCTACATATACAAATTTCGCCATCGCATCAAGCAACCAGGTCTCACTTCGGAGCATGTTCGCTGTGGCACCCAAATGCTCATCCGCTCCATTCAGATAGTTCATCTTAATGTCGAATATCATTGCTTGCTTCGAGGACGGCCAATAAGGGCCCAGCTCCATCGCATCGCTCTCGCCCATTATCGACGAACTTGGGCTTCTTCGTGTTGGCGGCCGACTCAAAAACTCTGTTTTGGACTATGAGGCACGCCATCCACTGATATTACCTCGTCAGCATCCTGTAACTCGCGCAATAATCCTGCATTTTCATCGGCGCAACCTACACTCTGGACCTCGCTCGCTGCTCGCTTCAATCCGGCAGCAGTTTTGGCCAATTGGTGGCCGCAAGACGGTTGCGAGTGCTGTGAGCAAATGCATAATTTATTTTCGGGCCAAGCCACATGTTGCTGGCCACATTATGGCTGATCTTCCGGAGGACCGCGTCAGCGCATCTTACGCCTTCCAGCTGAGTGGACTGGATTTTTGCGGCCCTTTCTACCACAAGTCGGAAGTTCGGAATAAGGCACCCATCAAATGCTACGTCTGCATTTTTATCTGATTTTCCACAAAGGCTGTGCACCTCGAGCTAGTCCAGGATCTCTCCACTTCAGCGTTTCTTAGCGCATTGAGGCGCTTTATACTGATTCGCGGCAAGCCTGCCCGCATATGGTCGGACAATGGGACTAATTTTGTTGGCGCTAAGAACGAGTTGGCTGAGCTAAAGCGATTGTTCCTGAATGCCAGCCACCAAACCGCAATAGATGAATTCTGCTTGACTGACAGCTCACCCCACTTTGGAGGTCTATGGGAGGCGGCTGTGAAGACTGCGAAGTACCACTTCTACCGATCTGTTGGACCTGCAATACTCCCCGCTGATGACCCGCGCACTCTCGTTTGCCACATCGCGGCAATCATTAATTCTCGTCTCACTTTCAGAACACCCTGGCGATCTTGATGTGTTGACACCGGCGTACTTCTTGGGTACTGCTCCTCTGGCCTTGTTTCCTGAGCCTGACTACACTAACTTGATCCTTAATCGGTTGGATCGCTGGCAGAAAATTTCGTTCTACCAGCAACTGTTCTGGTCCCGCTGGAAAAAGGAGTACCTGACGCTCCTTCAACAGCGCTCCAAGTGGCGCACACAGAAGACGGATGTTCAACTCGGTGATGTAGTTATGGTTAAGGACGAAAACCTGCCTTCCCTCAAGTGGCCACTAGCTCGAGTGGTCAACCTCGTCGCTGGATCCGACAATGTGGCTCGAGTCGCTGTGCTGAAGACCGCCACTGGCCTCATCAATCGCGCAGTTGCTAAGCTGTGTGTGCTGCCGAAGCAGGATGAAGTTGAAAGCGCGTGTCTTCCAACGGGGGGAGAATGTCTGGTTATGCAGCCCGCACCTGATGACCCAGCGGGCAAACAACAACAATAAATTTGCTCTGCGTAGCAAAGCTTTGCCTCTCCGCCTGCCTTCTGCATAACATAAAATTTATCACTCTCTCGCTCTTGTCCGTAACTTTTCATAGCTGCCCTTGGCCGTCCGCTAACTGCAGAAAAAAATTCTTTTGTCAGTTCGTCTTCGTTTGTCTTCGCCTATGCTTGAAAGCGATCAGCTTAAATATTTGCCTATAACTATTTTCGGACCAATTCGGGTCATAAATATCCACAGCGGCACTTCGGCTCGCCTGCGCTGATAAATAATAGTAACATCGTAGCTTAATAAATATTGCATTTAATTAATAACGTTTAAAACAAGTGCGTATTTTTGGGTCAAAGGAAAATTTGACATTTCGACAGCTATTGAAAAAGCTCAGTAGCTCAACACCTTGAAAAAACCCCTTATGGCAATACCACCAACGAGACAGTTTCATCTTTCAAAATAAATGTTCCTGAAGAATTCTTTGAGAAACTATGCTCTGTCCAAATCTGAACAAAGCATGTGATTGTTAAGGAATTCGAAGCAAAGAAAGAGAAAAAAAATGACAGTTGGAATTACTCTTCCTAGGCCCGATTTAACCAATGCGCCTTCTACGTCTTCCAATTCCTTCCCAAAAAACTAACAAACTCCCTTGGTATCTCCTATCAGAATGCTAGAGGCTTACGCAGTAAGCTTCCTAAATTGTACTATAATAGTGTCACATTTGCTTCCCAAGTGTTGTGTTTACAGAAACCTGGTTAAAGCCGGAGATTCTGAGCTCCGAAGTTTTTCAAGCTGTGTTCACAGTATATTGGGTAGATCGGCCTATCAGACATGTTCCTACATTCCTCCATTGTCGGAACTTCCTATTTATTGAAACCATCTTTCCGCAATTCAGTTGGTCTCTAAAAGACTTTCAGATAGGGACCACTTAGTTAGTAGTTCTTGGTGATTTTAACATCCCAGGGGCTATTTGGACCCTAGATAATTCCATTAACCACAACACATCACAAAAAATGTGGTTTACCAAAGAACACTTCAATTAAACGGATAATTTGCTGAAGGTGGCGTAATGGAGTTCGCCTGGCTTACTAGTTATTCTATAAATGAAGAATAAAATTATTCCAATAAGATACGAATCGAGCAGTTAAATAAAGAAGAACAAATTTCTATTACCCATTTAATTAATAAATATAAGGATTTAAAATTTTTCGAAGGTGACGATTTGACCTTCACACATACTGTTGGGGCAGCGCTTCCTTCCTTCAAGACCAGTGGAGTTTTAGAAGAGGGAAAATTCCCACGGCGCAAGCGAAGTAGTGCGAAGTCGAAATAAAAAACGGGGGCGTCGTAGGGAAATTCACACGTAGTCGATCAGCTTTATTTCGCTGCATACATAATACTAAAACCAAAACTTCAGCAAACGGCCGCGCTCCCGCCCGCTGACTTCGCTAAGCGAGAGCGAGAGAGCGGCAGCGGACGATCCGAGTGTTCGGCAACGAAGCCCGAGGCCCGCGCTCGAGAGTGCGAAAGCGCTTAGCGCTGCGGAAGAGCGAGCGCGGGAGAGCAAGAGGGCGAGAGCGGGCGAGCGTTGCTACGCTGGGAGCGCTTGAGCTTTTGGACGCTCAGACGCTCGGTGGGCAGAGGGGGAACAGGGCCTCCTGGCGTGAACATTTCCCCCCCTTACAATCACTCGGGTTGCAATAATCCCGTACCGGACGATGGTAGAGGAGCGGCTGCAGAACGCCGCGGAGTGCCGGACGAGGGCCGAGGAGCGGCTGAAGATTGCCGTGGAGACAAGGTCCGAGGAGCAGCAGTAGACTTCCGAGGCCGGGCCCCGGCGCTCCGGGACCGTCGCGCCTCCTAACGTGACTGGCGCGGATCCATTGGCTGTTCGGATAGGTGCAGCAATCACCTCGCTGGTCGGAGAAATCGGCGACGTATCTTGAGCGGATGGATCTTGTTGCAGACTCGGCATCGGTAGGAACTGGAACCTCGAGTACATCTGCGCGCCAGCGCTATGGCGCTGCGTGGATGTGGAGACATGCGGTTGGCTATTACTGGCGGAATAGGACGGAGATAAAAATCGGAATTAGTAATAGAAACCTTGCGATTTGGAACACGGAATAGAGCTACGACACCACAGTTACATATAACATCGGAGTGACAGGCGACTGGTTATTGCGGGCAGACGGACGCTTCCATCGGGAAAGGGACGACCTTCGCTATGGTCGATGGTGTGCGAATTTTAAATATGAAGGTGCCCGCTGCTGCGAACGGGGTGCATGCCCTGGATGGTCATGCTTATGCAGGAATGTGTGGTGGTGCTGATTGCACGTTTTGCATTGGTCACCACTGCGGCAGGTTCCCTCAGAATGTTCGTGGGCCAAGCAGTTTGAACAATAGCGGTTGTCGAGAACCGCACGGAGCCTCTTATGAGCGCTGAGCTTCAGGAACTGTTGGCATTTCCTGAGCGGGTGGAACCCGTTGCTGATTCGGCAACGGTAGGA